TTAAATCAAATTCAAAAAGCCAAAACCCCTTCTGTATTCACTCTTTATGAAAAGCGAAAACACACAAAAAGTGACCCGAACCACAGCAAAAACTCCGTGGCAAAGCTTTCCATGGATTTCCCTCTCGAGGGTTATAAGTTAATATCAGCTCTGGTTTTTATGATTTATTTATTCCCGAATTTCTAGAACTCACTTTGGGAGTAAGTTTTTGATGAACTTTAAACTCAGGATAGCCACAAAGTCTAACTTATTCTTAAGTCTGAACCACTGATCTTCCGGTCTTCATTACATGAATGTCTACCACATCAGCGAGGATCAAAACTTTCTTTCCCTTCCCTGCCTGTCTATTTCTCTCTCCCTCTCTCTGTCTATGAAGAGCGAAAAGGAGGATAAATTTGTATGAAAATAAATAGGATGGGCGTGGAAGCGCAAACATTCATTGTTTTCAGGTAACCACTGATGTAAATCCGACAGATCCAGAACAAGCACAGCGTGGTGTGCCATGGTGGCTTTACTTAATCGCAATCCTGATTGGACTGGTCATCCTGGCGCTACTGATATTATGCCTTTGGAGGGTAACTTTTGTTTCTTGTTTGCCAGTTACTAAAGCTTAGCTGGGCTCGACCAGCGTCATACACAAATTGCGAAAACTGTCTTGGTGATTTTGGGAGGGTGAGGAGGTAACGATACCCCACAGCGGGTTGTATGGACGTTCGACGTGGCAGTTGGAAAGAAGGAGCAGTGTGTCGAGGGTTTTGTCACAGGGGTTCGAGGCAGTTGGGGTTTAAGAATAGATGGATTTAATGGCTGCGTGGCGTAGATCCTTTGTCAATTGGCTAGGTCACGCGCATTTGGAGGTGAGAAGGGAGGGATGATGGATGAAAAAGAGAACTGTCGCTGAGTGCAATTTTAAAATGTTTAGGCCGCATTTGGAAAGGGACATGCTTATGAAATTTCGGTCTCTTGTCTTGTCCGGTTTTTGAAATCGTTTTTTCTTTAGAAATTTTTTGACATTCTATTTCAGATATCGCTGCAGGAGATGTAGGTGTACACGTGATTTCTGGAGTTACTTGTACTTAATCGTAAAGGCTTTACTTTGTAAGTCGTCTAGGAGGTTAAGGTTTCTGAGAATTTGAATGTCATTTTGCCTGAAATTTTAAAAAAAATATTAATCTTTTATTACAGTGTGGCTTCTTCAAGCGCAATCGACCGCCCACTGAGCAAGCTACTTATAACACGGGTATCAAAAATGCAGACATGTATGCGGACAGTCAAGTAAGATATGCACATCCACAAATGTACTCCGAAGAGCGGCATGGCGTTCGGGTATAACGAAGTTATCTCTGTGTTCCTCTACTTAACTAAAATCTTTGCAGTGGCTTCTTCGACATTTTGAGGGACATTTTAGGTTAAGTAGTTCCCCTGCAATTTTTTTAACGGAGTACCACGATGACTTTATGAGCTATTTTTTCGGCACAGTGGTGAAAGACATCTAAAGCTTATCTGTTAACTCACTACCCACTTGCTTTATCAGGAAGCAAAGCCCTTTTTAGCTTCAGCTTGTTTTTCATGCAGCTCTGAAAATAAAGGAGAACCATCGGCAATCTTGCCAGTAGCAAATGACTGCAGTACCTAAAAACGCCATCGCTCGGTCTGCTTTCTTTTGTGTTCATGTACGAAAAATGCGATTGTGCTGCTGAGGATTGTATGCGAGTTTCCGCAAATTCTAAGTTGTTAATAGTTTTTGCAATAGCTTAAGTCTAGCATGTTCCTCTCAGTTTATGTGTGCCTTAATTCTATGCTCTATTCCGTAAACTGATCTGATTTACAGTTGGAAAAGCAGTCTCTCAGTGAATTGCTTATCCCTCGTTTAGGAGTGAATTGGCACAGACTTGTACCAAAAA